CTCTCTCTCTCTCTCTCTCTCTCTCTCTCTTTCTCTCTTTCTCTTTCTCTTTCTCTCTTCTTTTGCTCTCACTCTTCTCGCTCTCTGACTCTCACTCTCACTTTTTGCCGTTCTCCTCGGCCTCTCTCACGCTCAAACACGCACTACCACATGCCGATCCCTCTCTCCCTCTCTCGCCCCCGCTTCATCGCCCTCCAACCCCCCTCCTCCTATCCCCTAGTCTCTTGCTCCCTACGTTCTCCCTGCCCCTTTCTTCTCTTTAACCCTCTTCTCCCGGAACCCTTTCGCAAAGCCTTTCGTTGACACGTTCAAAATGTGAGCCAGCATCCCTCCCACGCCCTCAACTTTTTCCTTTTCTCTCTCCCTTTTTTCTTACCACCAGCTCCCACCTCCCTTCTCCTCCTCCTCCTCCCCCTCTCTCTCTCTCTCGCTCCCTCCCTCCCTCCCCCCCTCTCTCTCCCTTCCTCTTCCTTCCTCTCCCTTCCTCTCCCTTCCCCTAACTATCTCTCTCGCAATACCTCTCCCTCTCTTTTCCTCCCTCCCTCCCTCTCTTTTCCTCCCTCCCTCTCTCTCGCTGAATCACTACTTATTGTCCACTCTCTCCGTCCAGGCGCAACAAAGATAGAACCCTTGACGCGATGGGGGTGCTGGCCCTGCGGGCCGGGCCCGGGCGGCCCTCCTACTAGCCGAGGAGAGCGCAGCACAGCACATTTCGCGAGGTCAGCGAGGGTGCGCCTCGGCTCGGCTCGGCCCCGCCGCTCGTAGTCCTACCGCGGTGCGGCGTGGAGCGGCTTCTCCTCCGATCGACCAACGCAGGCGCAGTGGCCTGTGGGCCCCATGTGGGGAGGGGGCCGCGGGGGGGCCGGGGGGCCTGGAGCGGAGGGGGGCGGGGCGGCGACGGCGGCCGCGGAGGGGAGGAGGAGGGCGTCAGTGCGATCGTAGCCGCGCGGCCTCTCGGGTGCGGCCGGACGGACACCAGCTCCGCGCCGCTCAGGGCGCCCGCCGCCGCGACGCCCGCACGGACGGCGGCCTCCCTGGCGCCACGCGACGCAGCCGTCGGGACGCCGTCGTCGGCACGAAGACCCCGCCGGGGGAGGATCGCTGACGGGGACCCCCGCACGCCGACGGGGGACTCCCTCGGGCGGAGTGACCCGCCGCTACTGTGACTGCCCGCCGGGGCCCTGACTGGGGCCGGCAGCCCCTCGCTGAGCCCTTCGGGGGGCCCTCGCGGGGGCATGGCGGCGGGGGGCGGGGGCGGCTCTGGGACCCGGAGGCGGAGGAGGAGGAGGTGGCGACGGAGCCGGGGCCGGCCCGCTACCCCGTCGTAGGGTTCGCCGAGGACGCCGCCGGCGGAGGCGGCAGGGCCGGGGCGGCAGCGGCCAGCGCCTCGTCGTCGAGGAGGCCGCGACCGAGCATGGTGCAGCGCACGGTGCTGGGCTACAACCAGCACCCCGCCGGCTACAACAAGCTCTTCACGCAGGTACGGCTCGCTCACGGCCCTCGTCCCAACGCCGCGCCCTGGTCTCAACCTCGCCGTCTGCCCGCTGTCCCCCCGTGTCACAGCGGCCGCCCGTCGCAGCTGATAGTGTTGATGCTGACACGGCCGCCGCGCCCCCCTCCCTCGGTGCCCCCTCGGCTCCCCCACCTCCTGACGCCCATTACAGGCCCCCCCACGGGTGTTGTTGCCAACCCATCGGGCGGGCGTGTCGGCTGCCCGGCGGCCCCGCGCGACTGCACGCCCGCGCCGGTAACGCCCGTTTATTCGCACGGAATGTGTTTACGGCGCTCTTTTCAAAAAAACACGTACGGTGAGCGAGCCCCGGGCGTGCCGCGCTCGCCGCGCTCTCGTCAGGCTACTGCGGCACTCGGGACTGAGGAGGATGAGGAGGATAGAACAGAGAAGGGAGAGGGGGAGTGTGGCGTGTCCGTGGGCGCGGAGACCGCCGCGCCGCCCGACCGACGGCCGGCCTAACCTTGGTGTGATCGAATGAGCGATCACACGAAACCTGCTCTCGCGCGTCTCTCGTTTGCTTTTTCTACCTCTCTCCCTCCCTCCCTCCCTCTCTCTCTCTCTCTCTCTCTCTCTCTCTCTC